CGTACTATTCTTTTCATTAATCAATTTCTCATTTGACCACTATCACTTTCTTTCATTCTCCTTTCTTTCATTCACCTCTTTTTATTTATTTTTCTAGTTCAGTTTTGTAGCGTGGGTCTATATAACCATTAAATTAAGGAATGATGGCAGTGATGTCAGGGAAGGGGAGGTACGGCGGACTTATTACATGCAGGTAGGTGAAATTCAAGAAAACAAGAACTTTATATGAAAGGGGACGGTTTGGGGGATGAACCATCTTCATTCGTGTTCTTACTCTTTCCTTTCATCATGAGATGGGCATAAAAATAATAATACAAAAAACGATGCTTATAAAGCGCTTACCTCCGAAGTCATTGTCACCCAAGTTATTGTATCTCTGCCACTGCATGTTAACATGTTATTTCATTTTTATATTAAATAAACCACATGTCTGTCTTTTCCCTCTTCGTTTTGTAGGCCTACACATAATCCTCTTTCATGTCTTTGGTATTTATTAACAGAAGGTGACATACTGGATTCCATGGCCAAGGCAGTCCAGAGAGCTTCGGTCGTACTGGTTTGCATGAGTCATAAATTCAAAGAAAGTCAACACTGTCGTACAGGTGAGAACAAATAAAACACACATTTAACGGTTAGTGGCGAAGCGTAGGTCCAGCCATGGAGGGGCACCCTTTTTTATACTCATGCCTCAGTGACACCTTTGCGTATCTGGCTTGCGTATTGCTGTGTATTCATGGCAAGCCGTTTAAAATTAGTTCCTATTTCTTCATGTCAAGAAATGAATTCTTGATTTCAAGAAATTATTTTCTGTTATAAGGCAATGATAATACTTGGTATCAAGAAATAGGAATAAGTGTTAAACGGCTTGCCATAAATACGCAGCATTACGCAAGCCAAATACGCAAATGTGTGACTGAGCAATAAGGAACGGAAGGGGGCATCAGACCAACTAGGAGGATACATTTCAGAAGAGAAAGGCCATCGAATATTGGAAGGGGTTTGGGTCGTCAGTATCATCATCTCTTCATGTTACTTCCTATAGAGGCCATCTTTTCCTTTTTCTTTCTCTTTCTTCATCTTTTCTTTTTGCTATTTGGAAAGGGATAAACTTTTTTCGTTCGTTACTAGAGAACAGGCGTGGTTCTGTAAGAATTATTTAGGATGTGGTCTTCGAGAAGGGGGAGGGGGCTTCATGGGTTCTTGAATTCGTTTTCTACGTGTGCCTCACTTAAAGTCATTCTTAATGAAGAAAAATGTGTGGGAAGCTTGAAAAAGATGGGGGTGAGCTTGAGCCTCCCAAGTCCCCCCTCCCAATCTGGATCCCCCACTTAGATATTCCTGTACTTTACCTTGACTGTGCTGTTTCTTTTGTTTGATGTTATACGTGTATCTATCAGAAGCGACTTACGCCTACACCCTAAAGAAAGACATAATTCCCCTGATGCTTCAAGATCAATTCACACCAGAGGACTGGCTCGGTGCCCTCATGGGAATGAAGAAGTATTACCCTATGTTTTCAGACGATCGCATGAAACAGTGCCTACCCGATCTGGTCTCTGAGCTAAGCGATAGAGGCAAACGTGAGAAACTAGATCTGGTCGTGCCGTTGCTTGATCAGGTCACAGGTAAGCCTTCTTTTGGAACTCTTCTGTATGCGTCCTACCCGCAGTGTGTTTTTCCATACAGTTTCTGTAAACAAAATGCACTAGAAAATGAATATGTACATCCGATATACAAATATCTTTCTTTCTTTGCAGAAAGAGAATGGTCTAAGAATATTCTAATTGATTGACGAAACATTTAAACACTGATTTTCGTCCCCCATCTATAATAAAAACTTGTCTAAATCACATGAGTGAAAGGGATTCCGCATGAGTTCCTCTAGTATGCCCTAACCTATAAAATTATATAACTCTTCACGACTGTATCTTACTCCTATCATGCCTGTAGGTGCAAGCAATCCAACAGCCCATGCTCAAAGGCAAGGGGGTGGAACAGCGGAAGATGACGTAGACTGCAGTGGAGGAATCAAAGATGACAAACCAACAGGCAATGAAGACGGGGGGAATTCCCGCCCACAGAAAGCGGTAGATCTTGTCACATGGGATGAAGAAGAAGCGGGAGAATGGCTGAGATCGCATGGCGTTGATACGAGCAAGGATAGTTTCAAGAAAGTAGATGGCACCCGCTTGAAGCAGATCAAGCAGCTGCTAAATCTGGCTCCAGAATTTTGCCTGACGTCTCTGAAAGAAGAATTCGGTCTTGGCATATGGGACGTCCTCTCGCTAGTAGATGCGTTGAAGAAGCTCTCAATTTGAAGAATTTAAGCAAATAGGAAATATAAATGCTGAAAGGATTACAATGGGAGCGGCGCGAACACCGTCACAAACTTCAAAATGATTTTCAAAGCAACGAAAACAGAGACAGAAATAACGTTTAAAATACCGTCTGTTGAAATTATTCGTTCGTCTGAACATTAATCAGTAAGAACTTGATGAGCAATTCGTTGAACTACTGAGTTGGTATGAGAGGAATTATCCCCGCGTAGAAAAGAAGAAAAAAAGAGAGGCGTCAACATAGAATATCGTCAATATTACAGGAAGCACACTTTGGATACTAGCAAATAACCGGTTTTCATGATTATAAATAGAAAAAAGGGGGAATTTTAGCCATCAATATCAACACGTATGTAAATGGTTTTAAAAATCTAGATATCCCACGTAAAAAGTGAGAACGCGTCCTTTTAAAACTGAAAACTACTGGCATCGGCCGGGAATCGAACTCTATCGCTTGCGTAACAGGCAGGCATTCCTCCACTGAACCACCGATGTTTACGTTGGATAGTTTTATTTCTGTCAATTCATTTTGTTACCTCTTTAAATGCTGGAAACACTTATTATTGTGTGTAACTTACCTTTTCATAGAGAATACGGAGGCAGGAAGATGGAGGTTTACCTTCTATGCCAACGAATAAAACAGAATGCTTTAAACATAGCCCCCTAGTGTCTTCATTAATAGCATGGAATCAATTTGACAGATCATTGAAGAAAAACAAGGCCCCCTCTGTGAGCACTTTTAAATACATGTTCAAACACTCTTGTAATGTCCGTTCCCAATAAAAGAGAATGCCGAGGGGTTTCTTTTCCGTTTCGCCGTGATTAATTTTAAATTCTTAATTCTCATTGTATTCCAACGTATTTATCATTGGTTTATGATGCGTTTACAATAAAATACAGCTGTATGTCCAGTACTTATATCCATCCTCGTACTTGATGGACCTTGCTTCATAGATCTCATAATTTAGGATGGCATGAAACTTTTCAAATTGAATGAATGACATCATTCACTATCAGCATGAAAGATATTGGTATGTTAAATTGTTCACTATAGTTTGTATATTCAAATGCTATATTAATTCCAATCAACGTTTGTTACTATTACATGTACTTTGTAGATATGCTTTGTAAATATGTATATTGCGATTATGATATCTGGAGTTTGGACTATTTTGAGCCAAAATTGTCTTTCTCCTGTCTTATACAGTAATGATTATAGTTCAATCACCTGATAACTAATTACCGTCTATATATGTAATACGATAGTATCATTAAGAGGACATTTAATAATTTGCCTCACGGAAGACCACCCGTATAGGTGAACATAAGCTACCCTGTACAAATATCAGAAATAAATGAATAAATAAGAAAATACTTTCAACTAATGTAAAATTAGTGGTTTAGATTTGCTAATACAGTGGGAATTGTGTAAAATAAAAAAAATAGAGAATACAGTGTGAAATATTCTATTGATTGTAACAGAAAGAAGGAATGTTATATAGAATATAAGAAAACCTATATAGAATCAATATATACAAATATGTGTCAAGATTATGAATACAATGCATGTTATATATTTAGTGTAAGATTTTAAAAGAATTGTATGAAATGGGATACATTTATCGGCTGATCGAGCCAGTAAAATGTCTGGGGATATATCTAAGTAAAAATAAATAATAAAGTTGTGGCTTAAAATTGGGATAGGAAAGTTATCTTAGATATGTGGGGAAAATGTAATTCATTACGGTGAAAATACAAATATGTAATTTTTAAATATCTATTAATTAATTTGTCTTTCATGTTTTATATACACAAAAGAGAAAATGTAATTTTTCATACATATTCCAAATTTAAGCAAAGGAAATATTGTGGAGGGCAGAGGTTAAAATTGATAGGCCTAACTCTGGAAAAAAGGAAATTATGTTACGTACAATTGAGTTTGTGATATAAGTATAGTTCATCTGTTTTTTTCTTTGTTATCATTATAATTGATTTACTTTGTATCTTGGTCATAGTTGAGATATGTAAATATGCACTTTGTTACAAATATTGACAATAAAATATTATTGAATAATAGTAAACTACTTTTGATAACCATACATTGCATTTTAAGTTATGGGAACAAATTGGGATTTTTAAAGTAAAACATATATTTGATCAAGGGCATTGGAACGATGTGGATATCATGTGTCCAAAATATAAGTTCCCAAAACTGTTTTGTTTTCTTCAACTTTTCAAAGGTGAAGAAAGCCTTTCCAAAAGTGTGGGATGATTACCTACGTATTGGTTTGTTACAATTACGTCACTCTAAATGCATACAAATATCAATGGGTGGTGATATTGATATTTTAAAGATCTACTAATTCTTTGTGCAGAAAAAAAAGAAAAAGTTTATTGTTTAGCAATGCCCTTCAATTTTAATTGGAATCTAGTATTGATTTTTTTAAGTTTAATGCTATACGTGATAACTTACTTTACTTTACTTTACTTTAATCCATCGATGTTGGTAGGACAGAGCCTGTTCATCGATCGTTTGAATTCCTTTGCATCAATACTTCTGTTTGTTGTGGTTTCGTGTCGAGGTGTGTGTGTGGAGGGTGGAATAGTTCTGCATTCTTCTATTAACTTTCAAAGTCATATACTGAAGGTGATTTCTTCCAATAGTTATCGAGTTTTTTTTTGAAGGCATTTACAGATGGGGCATTAACTACTTCTTCAGATAGGCTATTCCATGTGTCCACTACTCTATTCGAGAAAAAGAATTTCCTGATGTCGAGATGTGCAAATGTCTTCTCTAGTTTCAGAGTATGGCCTCGTGTTCTGTGTTCCTTGCATAAATGTAGTAGGTTTATCTGAGTGGTGTATAAGCCATGGATAACAGAATCAAACAATTTAATTTTAAACTTTTGCATATGTTTTTACCGTCAAAATGTAATTGATATAAATGGAAATTTCAAAATGATTATGTATGTGAAGATTGTAATACCATTGAAACATCACGCCATACGATGCTTTGGAGAAATCAAAATATGCAGCTTTTAAAAATATATTAATTACTTTTGCTTCTTATGTTTTATATACACAAAAGAGAAAATGTAATTTTACAAGCATATTCTAAATGTCTTTAAAGGAAAATGTTATGGAGGGCAGATGTTGAAAAGTATCACCTCTGGAAAAAAATATGTAAATTAGGCCTATGTGAAAAAAAAAAGAAAAAAAAAAAAAAAAGGGTTTTGTGATATAATTGATTGTGTTTTATGTAAATATTATTCAATGATTAAATGATTGGGAACAAAGTATTACGGTAAAATTTTGTTTTAAAGCTTTTAGTTGTGTCACAAATTACTTATGTGGCGACTGCTATTCAAATACTACATAATGTTTTTGGTTTTTTTAATCAGAAAGGGGTGACGCAAAGGTGTCCTCTCTCTCCTTTTTTAGTAGTATTAACTTAGGGGATAAAACAAAACGAAGGTTTATGTGGTATAAAAAATTTCAGGTCAAGGAAATGTGGACAGTAGAAACAAAAATTATAATGTTTTGCGGACGATACTATACTATTGTTTTTTTGTTATTCCTTACGGTCAGCAGATATTGTTATGAGGGAGCTTACTTGGTACTATGTCCCATTTGCAGCCAACATCAAATTCTGTAGAACTTTGCAGGAATTATGAAAATGTCACGTATGTCCTATCTGTAAAATGTATATGTTAGCAGTGTCCTATTATTCAAATTATGCAAGGAAACCCATTTACTTTCTAGACTTCACTGTCAGACACTAATGAGTGACTGACTGACTTTTTTTTAAAACCTTTGGTAATAACATACATAAAATGAGCTGTAAAGGTACATGAACTTTTGTCTACATCAAATAACTACTTCTTGTAATGACCAAAATTAAACTGATTGAATCTTTGCGCAGCTCAACACGTACGACTATTCGGTACAAGGGTCTGACAATAAGACTATTACTAAAATGATTGCACTCATTTAAGTCGATTCGACAACTATCGTTCGTTAGTGTTCCACTAAAAGACATTTTCAAGCCCTCTCGTTTTGAGGGAATTTCTAAATCAGTATTATCTTACAAATGCCGTTGGAATTTTACCTTTACACTTTTTTGGCCTGTAAATGGAACATAGTACCCTTAAGTATTTGTTCTGGTATTACTATTGACTGCGAACAATTTGAAATCATATATTTAATGCAAGACCTAAAAAATGGAATGGAATGGGATACATTTATTGGCTGAGCCAGTAAAATGTCTGGGTATTAATGTAGGTAAAAGTATATAAAAAGTGAGGCCATACATTGGGATGGTGAAATTAAAAAAGCTAAAGTTATCTTCGATATGTGAAGTATGTCTAATTCAACATATTACGCTGAAAATCAAAATATGTAATTTTGTTTCATCTGTTAATTAATTTAGCTTCTTATGTTTTATGCACACAACAGAGAAAATGTAATTTTGCAAACATATTCGAATTTATTTAAAGGAAATATTAAGGAGGGCAAATGTTGAAAAGTATTATCTTTGGAAATAGAATGTTAATTAATTTTAACCAGCGCAGAGGAAGTTAAAATAGTTTATTGACAGCTACCTGGGACAAAGTTTATTTATGGGGGAGAGGAGGCTATGAATGTAATCCGATGATGCAATAAACCTTGGGCGGGGAAGAAACCAGTCGCCGTAATGTAAACATGCGGTCAGCTATCAACTTTCCTCCTCTTTCCTCTCCCCAATTTGGACGATAATACCTCATTCAGTCTATGGTATTTCGAAGTTGTCACATCTAACAAATTTTCACTCTTCCTTCGTGGTTTTTTGCTCAATATTCGCCCGCGTTAGCAGTCAGTTCAGTTTTTACGTAATTTCGTCGAATATAGTTGAACTACTGTGCTTCTGACTTTAATAAGTTTCAGCTCCTGATTGACATTCTTACCTTCCTTTCACGTTGCCTCATTTGAGTTAAACAATACGTCGAGGTTTACAAGCGTGTTAGTTAGGCTTCATTTTGATACAAAATAATTTCTAAGATGCCTAAATCGACGAAGAAGACAAATCAGAGGGTGACATCAAAGGCTGCGACGAAGACGACAGCAATGGCCAAGCCAAGGAAGAGGAGGGCATCGAAGGCTACGTCCCCTGCCCAATTCCCCCTGCCAGCTGCCAGTGCCAGCAACGACGATGCACTACCCGTCGTCCCCGCCCGTATCCAGGAGCCCACGATCAACGAAGAGCCCGGAGTGCAAGACGGCGGCGTCAACGGTGAGTCATGGCCAGTAATGGCAATTGACGATTTTGATACAAATCCCAGCATGTTTACCAGTGAAGCGCTGGTTTCACCTGCGCCAGTGACGTCCACAGGGGTGCCAACTGCTTTTACTCCAGGGACAGGTTTTCCCGTCCCTGGACAGCCCCAAATGTTGGCTGGCGTAGGCGATGATCTCGGGTCATCAATTGCCGTCACATTGAAGGAAAAAATTTGGCGGGGGGAGTTCATTGACTTAGGCGCTTTACTATCGCCATCCATGTCCGATCCTTCCGTCGACGAGGGGTTAACTCTAACTTTTTCCCCTGCGAGCGCTAATTTTCAGCTGCGGGCGCCAAACCGAAAAACAGCCATTACAGGCATACCACAGTGGACTAGTGCCATGCTAGTTTTGTTTCGGTTTATGCCGAACGACACACATGTCGGGTACGGGAACTGTTAAAATATGTCAGTATTGTGCGCACTGCCGCTAGCTGCGGCTATAATTGGTGCGACTACGATCTACAGTTCCGCCTGCGGCAAGCGCGGCAGCCGGAGC